TATTTTTTTAATATGTCACTTTATTCCATGAAACCATTAAATACAATTGTATAATATTAATTAAAAAGAAATTAATTTATATTATTTTCAAAATACGTTATATTTATTTCATTTTTATATATAGAATTTTTTTTCACAATTTTAAACAATAATAACAAACGTTTTTTATTAAGTTGTACTCAATTTTTTTATATATAATATCCATCTTTTACGTACATAAAAACATCAAAAATACACTTATATTCAATATGTATATTTTTTATAATATATAAATTTCATTCATTTAATAACATCGATAGGTGTGCAATAATATTACACATAAAACAATCTTATAGATTGATTACCACAATATAATTTAATTATTTCAATATATATGTTTATAATTTCTATATATTTTTATATTAATAAATATTTTTATGTAAAATAAAATTTTAATCCAATATTAAAAATATAAATTACAAATAATTGGTACATATTTTTGAAACTAAATAGAAAAAAACAATATCCAATAAAAAAAAATAAAAATAAAAAATAAATTTAACTTATAAATTTAGTTGGACAAGAATTAAAAATGCATCGATTTATAAAGAGCAACGCATTTATTTATTTTTTGATTTCAAAAATGTTATTAAAACTTTATGTTTACTTTAATAATTTCTTTAATAAGTTTTTATTTTATTGTAATTGATTAGTTTTTTTTTCTCTAGAATATTGGTACATTTATTGTATTTATTTTTTATGGCAGTAAGTCAATATGTATATTTTTTTATAATATTGAACGCTTTTGTCATATATAAAATTATTTATTAATTATTTGTCAATTTAAGTTTTAGTATAACTGTCTAAAATTGTGTTATATGAATTATATCAAAATTTATGAAACAAATATGTATAACTTGTTTATTTTTTGTGTTGAAAAAGTAACCAAAATTATTTAGAATTATTAATTTATTTTTAAATTTGTTGCTCTTATATATATACTTTTGGATAACTTAATTTTAACATATTAACTATTCTTCTTTAAACACTACATAAGGAAATCAAAAATTTTTAAATTATATTTAATATATTTTAGTCTTTTTTAAAATTTTGATTTTAAATTCTAAATTATCTATGAACTTAAGCAATTTCAACTAATTATTTATTTACTATTATAAAAACAAATCAAAAAAAAAATCGAAAAAAAATCGAAAAAAAATTAAAAAATAATATATTTAAAATGTGCTTAAATGTTTAATGAAACTTTTGAATCTTATTAAAATAAAATAAAAATTATTTTTAACTTATAAACATAATATTAAAATTAAAACTTAAGCCGAAATTTAAAATAAGTGTTTGTAAATTAATTTTATTAAACGTAATTTTGTAGTCTTTTGTGATTTTCTCTCTTTGTTTCATTTGAAAATTTATATATACTTTAACACAATAAAAATGAATATAATTCCATTTCCTTTATAATTAAATTAAAAATAAATTAAGATTAATTTTAGTGCAAATCAGACTTAAATGTTGACAATAAAAGGAAGAAAATAATATTTACTAAAATTTTTACAATTTAATAAAAAAATATTTAGCATATTTTTTTAAAAACAACATGACACAAAATTTAAATATGCGCTTATAGATTTTAAAAATATTTATTTTATAAAATTTATTTTTAAATTTATTTTTTTTCATTAACATTTATTTTAGAAAATTTTTTACAAATTTTGTTTTCATATTACTCAATATTTGTTTACTTTTGAACATTTAAACATTCTAAACATTTTTGATAGTTTAATTTAGTTTTGTTATTTGCAAATAGAAGCCATAATTATTTCAATTTAGTGATATATTTTAATAGAATTATGTTTATTTATATATTTATATAAATAAATTGTTAGTTTTAATATAAAAATATATTGAATAACATATTTATTAAATTGATTTTTAACGTTCGTTTTGAGGAAACAAACTAAATTCTTAATAGAAACTATAGAGTTCAATAGAGAGGAGTTTTTGAACATTAGTAAATTACAACAACAAAATTTCATTTATTAATTCATTGAAAGCCAAAAATATACGTCTGTCATAATAATATAAGTCATCCAAAAATAACATAATTAGTTAATTAATTTACATTAAGTTTTTAATTAAGTTATTGCATATGTTATATCAGTAAGTATATTATTATATATAAGTTATATATTGTATATTGTTTTAAAATTGTGTTATATTTTTTATATATAATTCTATTAAATTTTTATATATTATGACATTTTGCATATAAATTTTTTTACAATTAAAATTTATACATTCAATATATTATTTGAATTATAATATATTATTAGATTTATATATTATTAGATTTAGTATTATAATATTTTTTTATGTAGTTCATAATTATGGTTTTAGATTATAAGTATATAAATACTTTTTATATACCAACATAATATATATAATAAAATTTTTTTTGGCTCCTAAGGTTGCAATCTTTCTGAACTTTAATAAACACATTTCATCCGTCACATTCATATGGTTCGTCTTTATCTTATGCCATTTTATGTTAGATCATGAATTGTATAATTATTCTTCACTATTAAATCCTCACTAAGAAGTTGGTTAGACTACTAACTGAGCACCATTATCATATTATATATTACGTATTTATAAAGTTATATTTTTAGTCGGATCATCATATTTCTGGTCGGTTTTTTTTTTAATTCACAAAAAAATAGTAATTTATATTTATTTATTTTGACAATTGAATGAAATAAAATATAAGATATAAAAAAATTGAAATCCAAGATGAATAATCTACGAATAACATATAGTTTATTATTTCAGTAAGAATTACAATAAAAAAAAATATTACAAATAATTGAATATTTCAGTAATAATTGGAATAAAAAAAAATAAATCAGTTATAACTACGGTTATAAAACTGAAAACAATTCTTTAGTTATAGATATTTTTTAGATTCAGATTTCTTTTTATTATTAACACAACTTCAGTTTAATTATTCTTTGCATATTATATTTTGTTTGTTTTTTATTTTATAATCTATTTTATAAATGTTTTTTAAATGTTGCTTTTAATTTAATTTTTTTTTTGTTTTAAATACCAAGAATGTTCTTATAACAATTGGAAATATCAATTATTTATATATTTTTTAAAGGCTCTTAGACCAAGAATTTTTTATATTGATCGGTTCGTTTTTATTTTATTTCCATAACCTTCAAATTAAATCAAAAAAATAAAATAAAAAGATGTGTTTAATATGTTGACCTAATGACCATTAAAAAAATATTTATGTTAAAAATGTTTGGTCATCAAAACGAATAATTTTTAAATATATTATTTAATAAACATTAACAAAATTTTGAAATTTAATTTTATTAGTTTAGTTTTTCACTTCCAATTTTCTCTCCATTGAAATATACTATTAATTATAAGAATCAATTTAATAGTTATAACATTTAATTTTGTTAGTTTAGGTTTTCAGTTCCAATTTTTTCTTTATTGAATTATATTATAAATTAAAAGAATCAATTTAATAGTTATAATTAAATCCTTGATTAATTTAAATAATATATATTATATATATTATATATATATATATATATATATATATATATATATATATATATATATATATATATATATATATATATATATATATATTATATATATTATATTATTATAGAATTAATAAAAGATTACGTTCTTCTGTTATCCTCATCTCCTCTAAAGGGAGCATAAGGCATCGAAATATTATGGTTTTACTTATTTATTATTTATTTAAGATAATATTTATTATATACACACATATATATACATATATATATATATATATTTATTAAATTTCTCTTGAAATTTATATTAAAAATTTAATTTTAATAATATACAATAAATATATTTATAACAAATAACTGATTTTCGTAATATGAAAACAACCTTTGCATTTTTATTAATTTTACTGTAAAATTTTTGAAACCTTATTCAGTATTTCGAGCTGATTTGCATTTAAAAAATTTTTTTAAAAATGTTAACATTAAAAATATAACATTTATTTTAAATATGTGAATTATTATTAATTGGCTTGTGATTTAATTAAATTTAATTATTATTTCTTGTATTAATAAATTTAAAAAAATTATTTTTGTTGATTTACACATTTTTCTCAGAATATTTTTTCTTAATTTAAAATTATCTTTACACTTTTGAATTTTTAATTTTAATTTTAATTTTAACTTTTAATTTTATGTTAAAATTATTTTTTTACTTAATAGGAAATAAAATTAAAAACTAATTTTTCACATAAATGCATGTTTTAACATAGATTCATATTACACATTTTATTATTGTTTTGATTAATTATAATAATTTAAGCACAACATTAACAATTATTATTTTAATTTGTATAATGGCAGTCACACATTTACTTTATGAGATAATTTGACTTATCGTTTTGACTAAACATATTTTAAAACAATTAAAGCAATATTTTTCATTTGTACGAGAATGAACCATTTTTTGCACAAAATAGGTATATTTAAACATTATAGTATTATATTTTTTAATTATGTATTAAAATTAAAAATAAGTAACTATTGTATATATATATTTTTTATGTTTGAGTTACAATGAAAACCATTTAATATATAAATTATGTGGCTTAAAATAAAATGTTTGACGTGCCAAAATGTGAACATAAGCAAAACTTTTTTAGTATTTTACAATCTTACTAATATTTGGATATAGAATAATGATTACTAAAATAATTTTATTCTACATAAAATAAAGCAAAGACAATAATAAAAATAATTACCTTCTCTTTAACTTATAAGTCAATATTGTAGCTATTTGAATAATATATATACAATTTTAAAAAAATTCAATAAAATTACAATTTTAAATGTTACATCTCAAAAGTAATTAATTTTTTATTATAAATTTATAATTTATTTATAAATATTATTTATTTGGCAATACTCGAAACAGCTGTATGGTCAGCCAAAAATTCAACTAATTAAAATAATATAAAATGAATTTTTGTTGTTGTAGTTCACTATTGTTCGAAAAAACCTCTGTCTAGACAAATCATAAATAGTTGCCTGGCAACCCTGATATCATTTAATTTACTTTGTAAAATGTTGTTTACAAAAAATAAAGACCAGTTGCTTCTCAAACCTTAATTGCGCCGGTCTATATAACTACGGTCTAATGACTGACATAATTAAAACCCAATGCTTAGTATAAAAAACAATTTCAAAGACTATCTCTATGAAGAGTATCTATGTAAAGTACAGAATTTCAGTAATATTTTATAAAAAAGATGGACCAAACAATATTTCCATATGAGCATTCAATTGTTAAAAACAAATCTATTAAAAATATAAGTAAATAGCTTTAGTTGTGGTTTAGCATTATTTACGCTATAATTTGCTTAAAAATTCTAAAATCATAATTCTTGGTCACTTTATTTACCATGTCTAAATTTTTAATAAACATCCGACATGTTTAGGTCACGATAGACCTATTCTCAGGATTCATTTTTAATAAGTACCCGATATATATTATAGTATTGTCCAAGCAAGAAGTCAGAATAGTCAGCAGGATATCAGAATAGTCAGCAGAAAATCAGGATAATTAATAAAAGCGACCCATCTCCAATTTAAATACTGCATTAGTTAGATAGGTTAAGTAAAAGAATGATTTGGTCGTTACTTTGGGCACTTTTCAGGGCGTCAACCTTACAAAGGAACTATGAATTTTAATGGCTTTATGCGTTTTTATTTATACTAAAAGTTTTGTGAGAAAATATACTTGAACTATTTCATAGTATTTTGAAGAATTTCTAAAAATATTGTGCAAGCAAAAAAAGATTTTTAAATCATGAGAAATGTTTGAAAAAAAATTTGAAGTCTTTATTAATTGCCAAAGTTAATTTTCAACCTAATGAAGAAGTCATGCCTTTCCGCGTTGTTCGTACGCTGACCTCTCGTCGGCGTATGTACAAAGGCTAATCCTGTACCACAATGGGATATTATTTGCGTTTACATTGAGTTTCGGCACAAGGCCACCACTCCAACCTAACCTAACCTTTAATTGCCAATAAAGGGTGCTAATAATCAGGCAAATTAGATATTTAAAAATATTGACAGCTCTTTCATTAAAAACCATTTTCACATATATTATTATTACATAGTTATAATAACATTCAGCTGATACTGGTAGTATTCTCAACAATACTAAATCAAAAATTGGTCCCTAACGATACTAGATATAGTTAAATTACTATATAGATTTTATAGGAAATTTAAGGAGTGCTTAAAGCTCTGTTTTTGAGATACTACCACCAAACATTTTCAACATTTTATTAAAGCATGTTCTTAGATCAGACATTTGTTAGATTTGAACCCAGATTCTCTGTGCCGCAAAGTTTTATAAGTAAGATTGAAACATACTTCTAATGCTTCAATTCAATTAATTTAAATCACTTTTTCAATATGTAATTGCATTTTTATATAAATGCTATAATAGTTTACACTTGCATACATACTTTAGTAACAAGTTGAGTGAACAAATAGTCAGGCTTCAAAAATAATAATAGGGTATGAACTTTTTATATATAACATATATATATTCCAGTAGCTGTTTGAAACCGCTCGTCTGCACAGACAGTCAATGTTGCTTACACTATCAAACAGAAATAATACCAACAAATTTTTTCAGGTTGCAACAACCATATTATTTTCATGACTTGTTCTATCGGAGTCTATATAATTCAGCAGATCAGCTTTTGAGTCACCATTATGGGTCATTATTTTTTTTTTTTATGTATTCTAAAATATTACTTCTGTTATTTTCTACTTAATACTTTGTGTTATTGTTATTATTATATGCTAAACGTTTGAATATGGTTTTGAAGAAACTACTTGATGCGGTTTTCTTACGATTTCCCAGCAATACTTGACCGCCGTAAAGAAATAGAACTGACCGCTTCGAAAAGTATATCCTAACTTTCTTGCAGTCTATAATTTTGTCATTTTTTATACTTTATAATAATATCATCACCACATTATGATTTGTCAAACTATGGTATACAGTCATAATATACTTTACTTTGTGTAAGTTAACCAACTTAACTCCCAACTTTTCAAATTAACTACATTGTAGATATTTTTATTTTTATAATTATTTCTTTGCTTCATTTAGAACTAGACCATATAAAACCATGTTGTACATATAAATACATTTTTGTCAAGTTACTATATCCCAATCTTATATATACAATTATTTAATTTACTGTTTTTACAATTCGTTTTCTTTGAACTAGTTAAATTGGTTTACTAATCATTTCAATACAGTAAATAAATTATTTTATTCATCTAAGGATTGTAATTGATTGCTTATATTCAACATTTCAGTTTTTAACGTCTCTTACTCTCTTAACATCTGATTTCTTGATTTGTAAAACCACTTAATTTTTTATCTTTATTAGCATAAGTCATTGGTTTTCATATATTATCTAGATTTGCAGTTAATACGCACCAATATTGTGTGGATAGAACAATCTGACAAATGAATATTAATGCTGTATTCATCGCGATTTTTGAAATAATAAATTTCTGCCATTAAATACTTTAAACTGGAAAAAAAATATAAAAAACAAATTATTTAAATATATAAAATAATTATAAAATATTCAAATACTGTTATAAGTTTTTTAAAATCAAATACATATAATACTCAAAGACATTATAGCATAGACAATATGTCGTCTCATGCGGAATTATGATAAAAAATTTAATTTTATTTTTTTTTGCAAAAAAAATATAATAATTGTTAATATTTATAAGATATACTAGCACACCATTTTGCCGTTTTTTTATAGATCTGGACATTATTTTAATAATTTTATAGGTTTAAAAAAAAATATACGATATACAAAAACGGTCTTAGCCAAAAAAAAAGAAAGCTATAGAAACGTTGGTAAAGCCAGGGTTGGTAAGAATGAAAAGGATGTTATGTGTTTTATGGGACTATAAAAGCAACATCAATTTTAGCTTTTTTCCTAGTGCCGCAAATATGATTCGAGCTATTCGAAACTGAAAAATTTCAAACTTGGACTGCCTATATTCATGAGATAGAGTCAAATGCCATATTGTGTTTTAGTATATATACATATTTATATAAAAAAATCAAACACAAAGCAGATTTACTGTTTAAGTATCTTAACAATTTTTAACACACCGAATATTTTCGAACTTTACAGCGCTAAATCTAAAAGTTGAACTTCGAATATACTCGAAATGCGCCGAAAAAATTGATTGTGCTTAAAGTATAAGATTAGAAAAAGGAAGAATTGAACCGGCAGATTGTCGTATGTTTCATTCTTACACAGGCGGAAAATTTAACAAAACAGATAACTGTGTTAATTTTTCGAAGACAAAATGCCGAAATTCTACAATTAAGTAGTGAAAAAGTACTGAAATCTAGTTGAAAATAGTAGAAAGCACATGGCAACAAATAATGTTTTTAATTTTGAATAAAAACCGATATCTTGAGAATTAAACTATATTCTGAACATATAGTACAGAGTAAAATAATACTCGAAATATTGAAATTCCCTTAAAATCATTGTCAAGATGTCATGCCTGGGAAATCGAACTTTTTCCCATAAATCAGTTACCATGATATATATATACTTTTGATTTCTTTATTAATATGTTATCTTTATATTAATTTTTTCATATTATTTGCCAGATTTAGTATTTATAAATTGGTGAAATAATAAAAATTGTTAAATTTACATGTGAACTTACTCTGATCAAATGTGCTGGGATTAATAAAACTTATTAAATCTTGGTCTGACATTGTCGTTAATTCTTGTGGTATTGGTGGAGGTAATGGTACAGCACCGGTTGCAGCGGCAGTAACTACACCAACAGTTGTGGTTGCAGTTTGTTGAGTAACAACAGCGCCATTTGTAGTAACAGCAGCAGTAGCAACAGACTTTTGCATTGCATTTTCCGCAGCCAAGGCAACAATTAGTGGAGATTCTTGCTGCACACTGGGAGGTCTACGAAAATATATAATTTAAAAAACATATAAACGTGATTTACAAAAGCATTAAACTTACATTCCCAAAGGAAATTGTGATTGTACTTCATTAACAGCAGCAACTGCTGTTGCTTGTGCCACTACAGCTGTTGGTGTGACTACATCATGTTGATTAAGTAATAAATTTACGAGTGGATCAACAGTTGTCACAGTTGGTGCTATAGTGGCTGTATTGGTTAGCATTGGTGTTGGCTGCTGATGATGGTGATGCTGTTGTTGTTCTTGATTCGAAATAAAATCAGCGGCGGCTTTAATTATCATATTACTAACAGCAGTTGATGTGGCAGCTGTTGATGGTGCAGAAACTGTAGCATTGTTAACATCTGTTACTGCAGTTGGACTTCGAATAATATTGCTAAGTGCTAAGGCTGCAACAGTTGCATCTTGTTCCGTTGGTTGTGGTTGTAGGGAAAAATCATTGAGTATAGAATTTGCCATAGTTACTTGATGAGGTGCCATAATATTAGGCACAACAGCTGTTGCAGCACCATTAGCTGAACATAATATGGTTGGGACGTCTGCAATAGGACTTACAGCAACTGCAGCAGCAGAAGCATGCGGAGGTAATAATTGTTGCAAACTATTTAAAGCGGCAGTAGGCTCTGAATTGAGCAATATATCTTGTGTAGTTATTGGTGAATTGTGGTTAGTTAGTGAATTTACAGGTGATGTAGTAGCACTTGCAGCAAGTAAAGCCAGTGGTGAAGCGCCATTAGAGGAAGAGTGATTTGATGAATTGCTCGATATTGAGAGACTACGTTCAAGAACTGGCGGTGGTTGATTTGTTACAACAGTAGTTTGCAATATATCCATAACTGTGGCATTTGCAGCGCCAAAAAGAGTTGGATCAGTATTAACAGGAGCATTTGGCATTGTAACTGGATTCGAAGTAGCTAATTCAGTTATAAATTTATCAACACTATTAGTCACAACTTGCTGTTGTTGACTTTGTAATATATTGTTTTGTACTGCCATTTCAACAACAGCAGCAACGGTAGCTGCTTCTAACGGGTTATTTGTACCAACATTAGGAACAGCTTGATTCACTGGAAATCCTGGTAAACTATTTGATTCATACATCATTGACTCCAAACTGGCTTTACGTCCATAACGTGAATGATATTGTAAAGCTGTTGGGCTTAGTGGTCCACAGCTATTAGCTGCTTCTGGAGAATGCATTACTTCTGCAATTGAACCTTGTGAGGTCTCATCAAGCAATTCAGTTTTTAACACATCAGTGGGTATATTTAAATGAGCGGCTAACTGATCAGTTATCATGGGTGTACTGGTCGGCAATGAGGGACGTCGCACGCCCATTGGCATTTGAGTTGTTATTGGTGGTGGCATCATATCAGCGTCTATTTCATGCTTCGTTTCTGTTGTTGGCCAAAGTGTTACCGGGGCACCCGTCTTCGCCATCGTACTACTACTTGTATCCATGAAAGTCGTATCTACAAATACATAGAATCTTAGGTTAATAACGCACTAAGAAGTGTTGTTATGTTATTAAACAAACGAAAAAATTTTAATGAAACAAAAATAAGAAAATAAAATTCTAAATTCTAGAAACAAACTAAAAAAAAATAATTCAGAGTTCTTAAAACTAGTAAAAAAAAATAATGAGCTACAGAATTAAAATTAAATCTTAGAACTAAACTGAGCGAGCTTAAAAGCTAAAACCTTAAATACTCAATTGGTTAAAATAACAAAAATATCAATTTTGACTTATATTATTCTTAAGCTAATTGGTTAAAGGTCAACTTAAAGACTAAGACTTATAATTAAATTTTTTTTTTAGTATAAATACAGTTAATACTCATCATCCAAATGAGCAGATTTAAGCCTATTGAACTATTTATTTTCATAGTAAAAAGTTTTTTGATTTAAACAAATTTTTCCTCCTTTGGTTGATGAGTTATGAAATTACTTTGGTTTTCTTTAAATTTTTTATATACACAAAAACATTCAAACAAGCACTCATACGACTTTTACAATAAACACACGCATACACATACACATACATATATACATATACATATATATGTACACATATATATTAATTATATATTAAACTTTAACACAAAAGCTTAAAATGTTCACATCCACTATCAGGACCCCTGATCTAATTAAAAGCTCATATATTTAATTATTGATATATATATATATATAAGTATATCTAGTAATGTAAGAAGTAATTAACCTATATTTTTAATTTTAAAAAAATTATGAATGCTTTCTTACAAGCAAGAGTAATGTAAAATGCTTTGCAAATTAATAAAAAAAATTGTAATTTAACTTAAAATCTAGAAACATGACTTAAAACAGTTATCGGTATCATAAACATATTGAATATATTAAACATCACTACAAATGATTTAAATATAGAGTTTCAAATATTATTCGAGTTAATTGGAGTTTCGAACATTTCGATGTTCGAATTTGCTTGAACACATCGAGCAACTTGATAAACTTCGAACATTATACTATATTCGAGCATTTGTAGCTCGGTATTATAAACATATTATATATATTAAACATTACTGCAAATGATTTGAAAGTAGGGCCTTATATTTTATTCGAGTTAATTGAAGTTTCGAACATTTCGATGTTTGCTTGAACACATTCTTGCTTGATGAACTTCGAACATTACTCTATATGCGAGCATCTGTAGCTATACTTTTTTATATATAACAAACCGCAAATAAAATGAAACATTGGGCAGATGAGCTGTCTGAGTAACTCAAACAACATCGAGCATAAGAACATTTAGTAACCTTTTAAGTATTCCATGCAAATATTCGAATTCGAGTATACTTGTGCTGTTCAACCATTGTAGTGCGCAAACGCTTTCAATCAACTATTCAAGACTAATATAATAAATTTAATTTTTTTTATCAAAACAATTGTTTTATTAAAAATATAAATGAAGTAATTTAGGTAAGTAGTCCAGTCTACACTATAAAAATAGATGTTTGTCATTTAAAGAGTTAAATCACTTTATATTTTATTTATTTTTTTATGTGTTTTTATTTACTTAATTTTTTTAAGTTTTTAAATTTTTAATTTTTTTAACAAAATATTTTATTTTTAAATTTTTAAATTTTTATTTATTTTAAAATTGAAATAATGTAGCAAGTTTTGTTTAAACTATAAAAGTATACATTTTTCCTTGAGTTTTCTTGAATAGTCATCTTCGAAGAAAGTCAAAATATCGGAAAATATATTAATGAAATAATTTGTTTTAAATATAAATAATAAATTATAGTTTTTTTTATTTTTATTTAAATGACCAATTAGCCAGCTCATAAATTATTATTTAAAGAAAATATGAACATTTCTATTTTATTTTATTAATTTTTTTGTATACCTTGTGATTTTAGTTTATTTATTTAATAGAAAAGTTTCAAATAGTAGTAAATTGAAACAACAAAATTTTATTATTTTTATTTAATTGAATTTTTGGCTGATCATACAACTGTTTTGAGTATTGCCAAATACCCATTATCACAACTGACATTAAAATCAATTTTAATATTTTATTTATTTTAAATTTTTTCAAACTCTTTTTGGAAATTAATGTTTTATTAATTGTCAGTTTTTTATATTTAAGGTTTAATTTTTAAACATTATATATAAAAAGATTTTCTGATTTATTTATAATGTTCAGTATAATTAATTTTATTTTTATATTTAAATTTTATTTTTTTAGCAATATATATGTCAAGATTTTCTGAATTATTTATAAGATATACATAATTATTTTTAAAAATAATTATTTTTTATATTAGTATTTGAATTGCAGAACATTAACCAATACGTTTCATATGATTAACATTTTTATAAATAATTAAAAGTAATGTTTCTTATATATGTTTGATACCGATCACTCCTAGAGACTCCCAACACATAAAACTATTCTCATTAACCTAGTTCATAAATTATCATATATATTTCAGGCACAACACTATATTTATATATAACACACACAAAAAACACATATCAAAACTAACAGGCACACCCGCACTCGCTAATTATCAAAGTAATTTCAATAGTTAAATATTTTTCGCTTCTAGTATTTTCACTTAACAACTAGTAAACTTAAAACTAGTAACCGCACCGTTTAATGCTAATTAATATAGTAGGAGTAAGTAGTAAATAATAGTAAAAGTAGTGGTAGTGTAGTGGTAAGTTAATAGTAAAAAAATTACTATAATTAATTATTACTTTTATTAATAATATAAATTTATATTAAAAATATTGTTGTGTGTAGAAATGTGTGAGTTCACTTTACTGCGATTTAACGAGTATGTATGTGTTTGTAAAAAATGTAAAAATAATTTTACGGTAATTTAAGATAAAATTTCTTAAAGAAGAAAGAATTTGTTTGGTGTATGTATGGAAAGCGAAAAGGTAAGTAACGAATAACGAGTAACGAGTAACGAGTAACGAGTAATTGTGGTATCACTTGCTCGTCTAAGGACATATCGCACACCCTGTAAAAGAAATGCAAAATTTGAAAATGCCCAATTTGCTGTGAGTGAATGGGAAGACGACCAACGTTGATTATCTCGCAATTGCTGCCGATTTAAGCCACTGTTTAAAGGAAGAAAAATTTTTTTTGATTTGTTTTGGTTAAAAAAAGTTAAAGTTGTAAATGAATTTATGTTTAAATTATAAAACGAAATAAACAAAATAAAAAATAAAAATTATAATTAAAAAAAAAAAATAAATAAAATGAATTTGTTTGTGCATGAGAGTAAATGTGAAATAAAAAAAGGTGTTAAAATTGTTTACTTTACCGGAAGATTTTTTTCTTATTTAAATATTTCGAGGACGACGTAGAAACAACACATCGATAGATTAAATAAAGGACATTTAATAGGCTATGAATTTGGAAAAATATATAACAACGCACACAAAATAAAAAGTTTTACGCGCAGCATAACTTTTGTTATTAAAATACATAATTTTATATGGAACTTTTACATATATATCTTTCTAAATGAATCAAAAATAAAATATATACAAATTACAGATAATTTTTTTCATTAAGATTTAAAAATTTTTTAGTGATTTTTACTTTTAACTTTAATTTCTCTGACAAAAAATCTATCTTCGGATAGATTTTGTAGATTTGATTTCTTTCCTATAAACTAAGATAATAATATATTAACAAATCTTAAGCTGTATACAATTTAGTAATACTAAGTTAAGTTACGGATTTTTCTCAATTTAATTGAAACTTTAAAACATATACAATATATATACGAGTATAACAAAATACTTTTCTAAGATAGTAGTACTTCACTAAACCTATACATAATAAACTATATACAATATGTAAATTTTAAAATATTATTTTTTTATTTTAGAGCTAGAGTTTCAACAGTTTAATTTATAAATATATCAAAATCCCTTATTTATATAATTGTGAATGATTTTCCACTTAATCTAAAGTTATTACTTATTAAACATTTAATTTATAGAAGGCTTCCTTGAAATATAATAAGAATCTATCTTTACTATTTGAAGTATCTTTATTAATGAAATATGATAGGCCCAGAACCATTCTGTGGTCTAGGCAAAGGAGCTCTATCCATTATTATGAATGACGCAGAGAAAAAAGAGAGAGAGAACTCTATTGGGTAATGCTACCAAGACTCTCACAATCTAAAATGTTTTTAGGGACTTACAACCTTAAATGCTTTAAAGATTGTATAGTACAATCAAAAACTAACATAAGAATTATTACGGGATTACTGACCGGTCACTGCAGATTGAATAATCACCTATCGAAGTTAGGAATTAAATCCCACTCAGACTGCAGATACTGCAGGGAAGAGGGAAGAGAAACGGCATACCATGTGCTTGGGGAGTGCCCGGCACTGATGCATAAGCGAAAGAAACACCTAGGAGGGTATTTCATGGATCATAAGGATTCAAGACTGGGGAACTGTCTTTCATTAAAGAAATCGGACTTGGAGAAATACTCTAACCCGACAAAGGGGCACAATAGATCTTTTAGGTCGCAGTGCACGATCCCTTACTCAATAATAATAATATTAATGAAATAAAAACATATATAATATAACTAAAACTAGTGATAGAGAAAGGACAAAAAATAAATAATTAAAAAGTCCTCTTTTCAAAAAAAAAAATGACGTAACTAATTAAATAACTGTAAATTAATATTAAATATAATTAATTTATTTAAAGCCATTATTTTTAAATTATGTTTAACCTATTAAATAACAGGCAAGTTTCTATATCTGACAAGATAAACTCACGGACAGATGAAAACTGCTCGAAGTATATATTTTTATATTATTAAATTATCAAACTTAGTAATATATATAAAAATTAATTGAATTAATTACTTTTATATATTTTTAAAAAATATTTAAATCAAAACCTATTTTTATGTAGAAGGAATTAAATAACAGCAATGTAAAAATAAAGATTTTAATAGTAAAGTATATAGTAAAGTACTACAATATAGTAGTATATTATAGTACTACTATTTTATAGTACTATAAGAATTTTTATTTTATTAATTTAATTTTTTTTTTTGATTAAATTAATTATATTCAATTTTTGTTAGTTTTTACAATTATTTAACCTCGATATTTATAATACCATAATACTTCGAAAACTCTCAAACGGGATATATATATATAACAAACTCATTAGATTAAAAATTTTGTACTACCAACAAACTATTATATGCAGATAATTGTTTAAATAAAAACAAATAACTAAAGTTCTAAATAGTTGCTATGTTTACTATGTTATATCATATGTTATATTATACGATAGAGTAATTATGGAAAATAATTTTACATATAATCTAAGGTATTTATGTATAGATTATAGAACGATTTTCTATAATAACTCTATTCTATGGTACAGAATAGATATAACGTACGATTTTTGAAAATTAAATAGCTTCTAATTTTAAGACTTTTAAAAAAAAAATTATCATTAATTTGATTATCATGTACAATCATTATTTAGTTATTTAAATTAATTACATATAAAAATTCCATATAATATATAACAATATAGATATAGATCGCGTAATTATATAAAAAATATAAATATAATTGATAAAAACGTATATATTAAAACAAAAACAAAAAAATTTTAATTTTAATAGTTAGGAGAGTGTGTAGGAAATAGAAAATAGTATTAGGATAGTGGTACTAGTAGTAATTATAGTAGTAGAAAGAGTGGCTTAAATATATTAAAATTTGATTTTAAAATTAATTAAATGTATGTAAAAAAAAATTAAATGTGTTTTGATATTGTTTTCTTTATGTATTTTTTTTTATAACCAGTACCCTAATATAAAGTTGATGAAGCAGCTGCAGCGTGACGAGATGAGAAGTACATATGATGACCAGGTGATGCCGCTCGGTTCAGTTAGTAGTGGTTTGACGTGCACAGTTTATCCATAAATTCCATAAGATTGTTTTTAGTAATCCAAAATCTTTCAATATCATAATATATGAATCATGCCATTAAATTTAAGATAACTTTAATCATTGATATTTTTATATCATATATCAGTTTTCTTTCGTAAAAGATTCGTCATTCCTTTTCAGTTTTATCTAAGTTATCATTCAATATAAAAAGAGTTGTGGCGTAACTAAGACAGCAACAGCAGCAGTAGCAAATGTAGTTAAAGTTGTTTTAATATTAATATTTTATTTTCAATATTTAATTAATATTAATTTTTTGCAATTATCATATTTTATTTATAGTGGTTTATGCTCGTTTTTCCATTGTGACAAACTGTATCTTGCAAAGTTTCATCATTTTGTTTTATCGTTGTTTATCGATTGCAAAACTATCGATTTCGATATCAACATCAATCATTGAAAGCTTGCAATTTTTTATTTTTGAAACAATTGAAAAATACGATTCATTTAATTACTTTATCCAGTTTATATATTATATGATTACTTTTTTAATTAATTTTTCGCATATCACGAACCTAAATTGCTAAGAGAAGGGAAAATAAAGTAAAAATAACAATTTGTGATTAGTGTTGAAAAAAATCCTGTGATTATACTGAGTTGGGTAGACGATTTCTTGTGGTTTGGGTTATTTGTTAAATTTTTTCAATTTTAATTTTATTTAAAATTTTTTTTTTTTTTTTTTTAAATCTTTGTGAGTTTAACTTGAAGCCGTTGATGCTTAATGCATATAAATATTTCATTTCATTTCAATTTGTTCATATGATTTCCTAATCACATAAAAATCTGCTTCCATTAAAACTTTGCCGTTGTAGTAGAAAAGAGAAAAATTAGGAACCTAAATAAAAATTAATTTTTTTTTTGTTTTTTCTTTTTTGAATATATCAGCGCTGCTACAATATTTTTTTCTTAATTTTATTTATTTATTTATTTTTTCGTTGCGGTAGATTTTAACTTATTATTAATAAATGGTAGTCCAATAAGTGGTCCTCACATAAAAATATTTCTAAATATGTAAACTTTTTTATATTAAATTATAATTTAAAAAAAATAAGAAATCAAAATTTTTCAAGAAATTTTGTTCCACAAGAATTTTTTTTTTTTAAAGGCCAACTATTAAAATTTTGTTTGATTTCGATTTTTATATATGATAATTTTTATATAGCTTAGCTGTGGTAAAGCTGTAACATAACCAAGAAAACTTCGCAACACATACATTCATTCAAGTACACAATCACATACCAATATTTGAAAGACCAACTCTTTTCACCCCCTCATATAGCTTTAAGAGATTTTTAAATTCGTTCACAACGAAATAATATATATTATCGAATTCTACTCAAGTCCCCCAGGGACTAGCCTATAAAGAAATCTACACATTTCATCGCATATTTATTCATAAATTCATATTTGTACCGTTTCCCTGACTGACTACAAATAATTTTAAAACTTTTTATATATATATCTAATTTGTAAACCACAGCCATACACTGCAAAGTTGTTTTGATTAGTTACAGCTTTGTCGAAACGCGCGATCTTAAATAATATCGCATGCGATAATTTCTATACGTCAAACGATGTAGACAAAAGAATTTTATCATTCGTTATTTATAAAAAAAAAAATCTTAAAATTAATTAGCGTTGCGTTGTTCTTAAATTAATTTATTATTTTGTAAAGTTATTAGAAGTCTTCAAAATATTTAAAATTTATTAAAAATTAATTCATTTTTATTTATAAGGTAATAGCTCAAGAAATTGCATTTCAAATATTTTAATATTTTAATATATATTTTATATGTATAAGAATTTTTATCGGAAGTTGTAAAGTCGATGCGAACGATGTAAATCTCTAAGAATGAGATGAGAATATCAGAGACTCTTGCGATAAGTCATGCTTTATAGATGAAAGAGATAAAGAATAGACCAGGTATATCTCTTTACTACTTTGAAAAGGTACGAAGCAACTTTATTAAAGGTAGCAGGAATCCTACAATCCTTTGATCAAGGCAACACTGCAAAAACCATATCACCGCTGAGAGCCAAATAGGCTACTAAAAGTCTAGAAAAATATTATTAGAAACCGACACAGTAGATTATAAAACACTTCACTTGTTGGCGCAGCATGTAGTGCTCACTGGACAACGTGAAACGTTCTAGATAATGTCTTTCTCTTATTTTTACGTATGTATTAATAGTTACATTCACTTCCTAGGCCTATATAATACAATGTAGCAGTATATACAAACAGACAGCCCAGGATTATCTGATCTGGAGTATGCTGCACAAAAAGAATAAGAGTGTTTACAAGAAAGAGACTTAGATCAAGCAATAATTTAATGTTTTTAACTATTAATCTATTATTTTTATTATATGTTATTATATCTTTTGGCTAACCATACAGCCTTTACGGATATTATAAAATATCCGTTATCTTTATAGGACTGAAGATATTGGCATATTAGCTAAGATTTGATTCTTTAATTGAGGATCTGCTAAGCAGAGCATTCTAGCAGATCTTTGAGCGTTATAATTTGATTACTAAAATTGCATACAGGTGATAAATTTTTATTTGTAAAGTATTGATATGAGATTTTAGTGGCCGAGTCTTACTCTAAAAATATTTATTAGTTATTTACGGGAGAGGTTTTTAATAATAATAATTATTATTAATAATTAAAAGCACTAGAAAGAGAGGAAATATAATTACGGTACTAAAGGTTGAAATTGTTAACAGATATTTGCTTGAAATATTTCAATATACAACTTGATGTGTATGGAAGAGGAAAGAAAAGTTTGGTTATCAGTACCCGTTATCAACGAATGACCAGTAATACACATGGTTTAGTTTTAAAGTGAGTATACTGATTTATATATACCAATATATATTGAACAGTACTGCGTGAAAAAAAGAGGCGCCTGGACGCAGGTACAACAGCAGCGTCGTAAGATTAAATCTTACAATCAGGATGTGCATGACCTGAAGCAATACCTAGTGGTGGTTCCGGGTCATGTACTTCATCCTGGAAAGGGGAGTTTTTTAGCATGTCAGCGACTAGCGCGAACCGTGCACTACCCACAGAAAGACGTTTCTGCAGGTGTGTGTTGACATTTTTTGTTCCCCAGCCTCGAAAAAAAAAAAATATATATTGAACTTAAGTGATGAAGATTGTTGTTATATTTTTATAAAATATTTTAAATTACATATTAAAATGATTTTTAATGCAATTACAAATCATTAAATACTTTTTTCTTATAGAATCAAATTATTAAAAATAAAAATCACTAATAACTTTACAATTTATACGTCGATATTCTACAATTTATTTTAATCTTTAGCAGCGTTGTTTTATTTTAATATATATTATATTTATGTATAATCTTTTTATCAATTTTAGTAACTAGCGTTGAAAAACTTTTCTACAAAGCTTAGCTAAAATACTTAAAATTTTATTGGCAAACAAATATTTCTTTTTTTTAAAAACGTAAGTATATGTATATATATATATATACATATATGTATATATTGATATATGTATATACATACAAATATGTATATATATATATATATATCCTGACGCTACCTATAACTGCCTAATGCCTACTTTTCTGCCTACCTATGTTTCGCAAACGTTATCAGAAATTACTACTAAACGTTTGCTCTGATTCTGTACTGTATCTGTTAAATTAAAATAAACAAATAAATACCTTGTGCAGTTGATAAGTTTGTACCGTGTAAATTGCTACTTAATGTTGTCGCTGCTGCCAAAGCGGTATATGTGCCCTTTGGTGTATAAACAAAAGCATGTGATTCACTTTTTTTGCCACTAGAGATGACCGATACTTGTATAGTGATGGGCTTCAGTATGTTTTGATGTTGATAAGGTGGTACAGTACAAATTAAATGAGTCTATAAATGTATTTAATTAGTAATATTTTCTCATTTGTATATTACAAGGCATTTATTTAATAAATAAGCTTACTTGTTGTAAATATTCTTTATCTGGTAGTACTGTTTGCTCCCACAATGTGCCAATCATTTGTTGGTTATTATCAACACTTTCGTATGTTTCTTGAAAAATAACTCTAGTGTCTTTTAGAAAATTTTTGCCAATTATAAATAATTCGAGCCCTCCCTCCACAGGACAAGAATTTAAAGATTTCTTACAAATTTCTGGCACACCTGGTGGTTGAGCTAAAATTTAAAATAAAAACACATAATTAATTTTTTATGATTTTATTTTATATATAGATATATAAGGACTTACTGCAAATAATTGGATTTGAGCAAACTTGTAAGGTTTCTGTACTACCATCATCATGAGTAAGGAGTGTACGGAACACCATACGACAACGTGTGGATTTCTTTTTATTTTTTTGTGCTGGATTATCTGGAAAACGATGTTCGACATCCACATTACGTTCCTTCAAAAAAATTAATATATAATTAAGTAAATATTGAAGTAAAAAAAAAACACGTACTACAAGGCTGTAAATAGATTTTAAATCGAATTAATGCTTCGAACTTATGTAATTCAATCGAATTACGAAATATTGTCATTTTTCAATGTGTGCCCAAATTGTAGCTCTACCCCCATAATATCCCCGATCTATTCTGTTACCCCAATGCACATACAATCCTAAGTCCAATCGATCTTTAAACCTGTATCATACAAGTAGTGAGGTGATCCTGGTTGATTTAAATTCTACCCATCCCCCATTTCATTCCCACTATCTTATAAACTTCTCCTCTCCACTCTCACACAACTATCACCCATTCATATCCTAACCCATGTATTCCTCATATAATTCTTTTCTCACATAATTAACAACAAAATTGTGAATTTTGTCTGCATCTACAGACAGATACAGAGGCTAGATAACCTCGTTTTTTATCGTAGCAATAGTTCAGATTTTATATATGTACTTACTTTTAAAATACCAACACAATCACATGTAATTGTCATATCTGATTCAGGTTTAAAATCTATCTCAATGACCATTGTGCCATCCACTTTTCTTTCGTTACATTGTGTAGAATTCTTTCCTGCTACTTTGCAGGCTTGATAGAACATATGTGGCGCAACACGTCCAATATCGGTACCAATAAATACTTGCAATACAGCTGGTTTATTGTAATTGACTAAACGTACAATTGGGAAACCGTTTCCACTACGATCTTTAACTGCACCACGGCTACCCTCAGTTTGATATCTGGTGGCAAGTAAAAACAAAACAGTTGATTATAAAATCATACAGGTATTTATATAAAACAATTTACCTGGCACGATGTTGTTGTTCAGGTTGAGAGATAATTTCTAGCTGTATATTAGAGTTTGTAGAGGTGGCAACACTATTCAAAGGTGTTGCAGGTTGCCTTTTATTTGCTACTCGTGCTACACCACGTGCAGTTGTTGACATGAATCTAGAAATAATAAAATTATATAAAATTCATTAATCTTTAATTAATTAAAATTAATTTCAAATTTAAAGTATAGAAAGAGAAAAAAAATAAAAATGAGCATGAAGTTAAGCATAGCAATTAGCAGCATACATGACGCGTGAATAGGAACAGGTTACAATGAAAACTATTATTTTAATTCTAATTTAGTAATCAACTGAAGGCATAAAGTGCGTTGAAGTTACATTACAAGACCGTTTCCAAACATATTTAGATTTTTTATAGCTAAGACTAAGCATGTGATTAGCTGGAGTTTTGATAAAAAATTTTTTAGCGGAAAATAATTAATATTCAAAAAATCTTACTTTATGGGAGCAGTTACAAGAGGTGCTTGTACTGTTTGCATAGGTTGTATTGGTATTTCACTTTCAACAACAGTTGCACTGGCCACTTTCCGTATGAACGCATCCTCACTGCAAGCATCATCATTGTCCAATTCAACATGAGTCTCTATTCGTCTACGCTTAAAACATTTTCCACTTTGCTGTTGTTGTTGCTGTTGTTGAAAATCACGTACTGACGATGTCGGTGAAGAATTTGGTGTTAATGAACCATTTGTCGATGCCGTATCTGAACTTTTGTTTAGATAAAAATCATCAGAGTCATCCGTCGAAAAATCATCATTCTCTTCATCAATGTTGACGAAAGGTAACTTTTTTGCTGGTGCTGATCTATAGTTTTTATATTACAATTTTTTGTTTAATTTATTAATGGTTTGAAGTTTAACAACATAATAAACTAATTAGAATTTGCCAATGTTAATAGTAATGCATATTTTTTTAAAGAAACTTTAATAGTTAATTAGAATGAGAGTTCAAAGTTAAAAATGAAGTACCAGGAACAATACTATGCGCAAAAAGTTAGGGTAAAACAATTTACCAAATGAAAACAGTATGTAAATGTTTGTGTTAGAACTACTAAATACTCTTTGATTTTTTAATAGTTTTGACAGAAAAATAATTTCGACTTTATAACAAGTTAATTCGACTTTATCAACAAAATTAATTTGCACAAAATTTCATAGTGTTCAATCATTATTTACATATAATAGAAAAGCTCTGTAAAACAGACGTTCTCTTAGACAGATATCTACATTGAAATGTAGTGTCAATAAGTATTCTCTCTTAGTTTGCTAAAGGCAAGTTAACCTTACAGAGAAATACTTCCTCACATGCGTCAACACTAGCGTTATTGCTGAATATTTAACATGCTAAATATTTAGCTGAATATTTAACATGCTAAATATTCAGCAATCACGGGTATGGGAAAGAATTTTCTCATAAGATGAACATGTATTTCAAAAATTCTAAGCATGTTTATTAATAAAATATAGAAACTATATAAATCTAAACTAAGCAATTAGAGTTAAATTAGCACCCTGAATAATTTAAGAGAGCATTGAATCACGTTGATTAACTTTAAAATAATATCTAGTTCATTATTTCATATAATACACAATTTATAATATACTATATACAACAAATTCGACTAAAGGAAAGGAAATTCAGGGACTTAGGAAATTATAATATTTTTTATTTATTTTAGTATTAAGGTATTTACACAAGGATCCTACTGTATATTAGAAGCCCAATAGTCATTACGATACGACATGATCTTACTAGGCGCGCAATGTCAGACCAGTTGAAACCTTTCTGGTAAATAAAATATAGCCTATCAAAAATTTAAAAGAATTGATGTTAATCTTTCAAATACCCACTAGGTATGAAAATTATTATTCCATAAAATGTTTTATACAAAATTATATTAGAAAATCATACAATCCATTCATATTAATTGTTTTTGTTAGTTTTAAATCTATAAAATTTATATAAAACCTTCAATTATTTATTGTTTTGGTATTCAAAAAAAATATCTATTTATATTTTATAAGATTTTCTCTGTACGGAAATTCCGAAGAACTTAATAATAATGCCAATTGTTAATTTTATGACGTTTTTAAGTATTCAATTTCACTAAATATATTTATTTATAAACACATATACAGAACGTGTCAGACTGTTTATCAACTTATTATTTATATTTATAGTATAAAAATATACTTTCCTTTCCTTTTATATTGAAGTATTATTTAATCCAACTTTCAACAAAAGTTGAGTAGATGGTATTATAAAAAAACTGTTTATGTATTTTAAATAATATATAATAATATAACTCCAAGGCGTCAGTAGCTAAGATATATCATAAAATATTAATACTAAATAATTAAAAAATAAATTATAAATAATTGAATATAATAATATAATTTAATATAATATTTATAATAAAATGAAAGATAAAGATAAATTTGAAAAAATTAAATAAAAAGTAAATATATACATAAAATAAAAATTAAAAACAATTTCAATTGCAATAAATTAAATGAAAATAAATAAAATGATACTTAAATCAAAATAAGAATATATAAAGTAAAAATATTACTTATATAAAAAATTATATACAGTATGGCGTATACGATAAATACGGTTATAAAAAAAATATTAAATATTTAAGAATAGTATTCCTTTAAATTTTAATTGTTTAAAAGCACAACTAAGGTTGCAAATAAATTTTGTTTGTATCAAGAAAAAAGAAATAATGTAGTGAATCCATCTAGAACTAAGAAGTTAACTGACATTAGTAGGACCAATATTGTTAATATTATAGTTAGTTGTAATCGGGATTTACCTAACTGGCAAGCGCAGATATTTTCAATTCGTAAAGATTTACAATACCTTTTTTCGAGAACTAAAAAATATATATTTAAAAACTGAAAATTGAACCTCATAGAATTTAAAAAAAAATAGAGGAGGAACTCTACTGAATGTGAAGTTGCTTGAATTTAACAAAAAACCAATCTACAATAATCCATTTTGACGAACCACATTCATTTGAAAAATTTTAAAAAGTAAGAGAATAAAATATTAATTTATAAAACTCTACAATGGACATATAGCCAATCTACTTTGAATCTATTGCATATTTACTCTCATAATTACACTTACTTATGTAAGAGTGAAATATAATATTATTATATAAAAACTGAATAGTTATGATAATAATAAATATTCTGTTGACCAACGATTTGATCTTCGTGCGGAAACTAATTCCCAACTACAACCAATAAGGGTCGTCTAGCTTGTCTGTTGGATCTCCATTAAATTGCTTTGTCTACTCTATTTTCTATCTATTATAAGATTAAATTACAGACATTAAAATATCATATTATATTGTTAATAATTATAATCTATTTTTTATGAATTATAAGATAATATTACAGACATTAAAATATCATATTAAATGGTTAATAAAAATATTTTTAACAATAATTTTTTTTATTGCCTATATAAGTATATATATATTTATATAAATACTATTTATATATTTTATAGTGTTTGCAATTAAGTTTTATATTTCATTTTTACGATTTTGTTTAATTATTTGTGTCTGTAAGCCGAAATTTAATAATTTAATATTTATAATATTAATTTTAAAACTTGAGCTGTAACTTTAACAAAAAAAGGCACTTAGTAAGTAAGATTTCTATTTACAATAACACAGAAAAGTGGGTTCAAATTGGGTTTATATTTGTTATACCAATTCACTAAAAAATTCGCATATGGTTTTATAAAATCATGAAAATACTTCAATTCCAAGAAAACCTATTTCTGAACATTCACACAAAATTAGAACAACAAATAATTGTATTAAAAAATAGCACAGATATATTGATATATGAAAAATTTCAACAAAAATTATTTACATGTGGAATTATCTGTAAATTATATCACAAAGAGTTGGAGAGAAGGTGATAATTAATTTAAAAACACCAACAACATAAGCCATTAACAATTATATGAAAAGTCATTTAGAAAAATTTGTCAAAAAAATAAATAAATAAATAAAACGAGATAATTTGTGTGAAACCAATTGTAACAAATTAACATGATAAAAAATTTTATGATTATAATAAAAAAGGCATTTTTTCAAACTCTAAGCAATAATTAAGTAACTAAAAAAATTACCGAATATACAAACAATTGCTTCGTTGAGCAATATTATTTAATTATTTTAGTTTCATTAAATAATTGGTTTTAAACGGTTAATTGGTTTTTTAAATAAACAAAAAACTAATAACTTATTATTCTACAATACTTAATTGTGTATAGTATATAGTGGTCTTTGGGAACGTTTATTGGTTTAATTCTCCAAGAATAATTATTGGACTGCAAGTGACAGGAATTAATTAATTAATTAATTAATTAATAAAAAGTGAAAAGTGGTCAAATATAATCACAAAATTGAAGTGAAACTAAGCCATCACAGTGGGCTTTATTACAGGTCATTATGGCCTCAAATGTCACCTTCATAAACTACGATTATCTGTTAATTCGGAGAGCTGATTATACCTCGAAGATGAGGAAACTCCTATGCATATTCTTTGTGACTATCTAGCTTTAATAACGCACAGAAGATACTTGTTTCATATGGAATTTCTGGAACCAGAACAGATTAAGAACTCTTCTTTAGATTTAATTCTGAACTTTGTTCACAAAGCTTTAAAGGGCTTTTTGTAATCAATAGTGAAATTGATACATTAGGACTCTTCTACTCTTCTAACCGTAGTAGCGGCTGCTGTTGGATTTCACGTCAAAGCTTTAATAATAAATAATAAACCCAACACAGTTCTCTTAAAAACTAAACCGATATGCGACATATATAATGATGATATGACATATCTTTCGTGCTGCTAACCAACCTAAACTGAACAAAAGTCATTGAGCAGAGGTTGCAGTCCCCTTAGTTCTTACAAGTTGTTTTAAAAACAATGATCTTTTCCTAATTGAGGCATAGAGTATTCTCTAAGGAATATGACAAGATCATATGACAGATATTTCGTGTTGCTAATCAACCTAAACTGAACAGAAGTCACTGACCAGAGGTTGCAGTCCCCTAAGATCTTACAAGTTGTTTTAAAAATGATAATCTATTCCTAGTCGAAATATACGGTGTTCTAAGAAATTGCAACTCTAAATAACAACTGAACACTAAAATAAAATAAGTACTGGATCACAGTGGAGTGATATACTGCGACCATTGAAAATTTTTTACACTGTTAACCAACTCTTACTAAACAAAAATCAATGAGCGAAAAGCTAATACCACGGTAGATATTTTGTGCTCCTAACTGACCTAACTAAATCGAAAACATTTTTTCAAATAATGATCAATCCTTACTAAACAGAAAGCAATGACCGGAATGCTGATACCATGGTATATATTTTATGTATATATTTATTTTTTATAAAACATTTCTTCGAATAATGACCAAAATATCACCTTCTTAGAAAGAATTTCAAGAATTTTAAAAAGAATTCAATCTTCAGTTAAGGGTAAAGAATGTCACTAGAGGTCCCATTTGCTTCTGAGCAAAGTCGACATTTTGTCATATGAGATAGTTCGATCTTCTTATGGTGGTTAATTACTTAACATTAGATAAATTTAATATTTAATAAAATTTTTCATGCATTAAAGATAAGATATATGAACTAATAAATCCAAATTTTGGAAATTTCTTGAAATTTCACGTTATTCTTTAGAAAAAAATATTTGATTTTTAATTTTGTGTTCATAATATTCGAAAATAAACGAAAACGGATTACTAAAAGAAAACTACAGAACCCAAAAAGAAAGAGAATCTGAATACTTTATGTCTGAATACTTTAATAAAGTCTTAATAAACGGCTCGATATAACAAAATTAAAGCCGGTAACCGTGTATATTAGAGAAACACTGTAAAGCAATCACCGATCCACAATGACTTATAATATAATATATACATATATATTATAATAATATTATAATTGCTAAGGGATATATCTGCGATCTAAATTTATCTATAAACTATTTAAAAAATTTTATATTAATACTTTTATTATTTTCAAGATTTCATGTGTAAACCCAATTTAATTTTAGAAATATAAATAATATATAATCTTGTATATAAGAATCCCCTTTTCACAGAATGACATAGGTATTATGTATAAATTTTCAGAAAATCTAGCAAAGCATGTCGATAAACTGAAACAAATGAGCATGAGTTAAAAAATATCTTGTAAATAATAACGATTTGAGATAGTTTAAAAAAATTGTTAAGTAGAAATTTAAGTTAAGAATTGAAAGATAAAATCATTTAGAACATACCTTGATGAAGGAATAGCACGAATTAAATGCTGTTGTGGTGAATGCTGCAATACTGTAGCACTATGATGATGTAGTGAACCACTTTGATTATGATGATGATGACTGTTATTATTGGTACTTAAATTTGTAGCTATATTGCTACTACTACTACTACTACTACTACTACTACTGGAACTAGAGCTAGCATTTTGTGTTTGTTGTTGATGGTGTTGCACCTCTACATGTGGATCAAAGCCAAAACCACTGTCATTCGAATTATCACAAGGTGGTGGATGTGGTCGCTGTGGTATTCTTTTACCGGGCACTAATTTACCAGGACCAATCTTTAAACAAAAAAAAAACATTTAAATAAAATTATAAAATAATATATTTAGTATTAAGTTACCCGTGACATAGCATGTAATTTTCCTGGTAAAGCTTTGCCAGGGTGCCTTTTCGATGGTGTGCGAAAACCCTTACGATGAATACGAGAAGTCATTGTTGATGCTGTTGACATAGTCATACGCATGCCTAAAATTTAAAAAATATAAAAATGTAATAATATATCTATTTATATTTATATATATATATATATGTATTAAAATTATTTTGTATGTGTAGTTAAGAATATATTGAAACAAAAAAATTCTACTTTGATCTTACGAAATGTTCAAGGAAAAAGCATCTTTAATTGCAATTGATAAAATACAGTACAACAACCTCAAATCGCAAACATTGTATTCAGTACATAACACCCAGCCATACTGACGAATAGTCAGTCAGTCATTTAATTAGACCGACAGTCGGCCAGATAGGCATACATTTCGGAATCATGCAAATAGGCATTTTCAATTATAAAAAGTGTGGAGCGAGGCACGATACCAGTGAGTGATGTTTTCTATTGTTGTTATTATTCAAGTTATTTTGCTATTGCCCGAGATGCTGTGCTGCGTTTCAGCGTTTCTGTTGCTTTTTTGTTGTCTACTATTATTCTTATATTACTGATTTAATATAAGAATTGACATAATAAATTATTAAAATGTAGAAAAAAAAAAACAAATAAGAAAATAAACAATTATATGAAAATTATGGCAATTTTCATATGGACATTGTAACTTTGCACTGTACGTATCTTGTACTTTACATAAACATCAGCAGAACAACTACAGAAAGACAGAAAGACAGAAGTTGGGTTTAATTTTATTATTTTATGCCCCGAATTGATAAGAAGCAGCAAAAGCGCAGTGTCATTCGCTCCCTTTTTTATTATATTTTTGTCTCTTTTTGATAACACGAGTAATATGAATACTGGAATAATGGTAAGATGAACCAATTTACGCTAATTTAAACCGATTCACACTTGTATCCAATCTCATGTGATGTAGGTATGATGATGTGTTTGATGTACGACTGAATATTTAAATATTTTTATAACCGAACATTCCTCATTGATTTTTTAAAGATTTTTTATAAATTTCCAATATGAAGTAAAAATATAAATTCAATATTTAAATTATTACTTAAATTGCATTGAATTGGAACATAAAACAATTTTAAAAATGGAAGTCAAAATGGCAAAGAGCTATAATATAATATATTCTATGTGAAACATGATATACATGATCCTGATATGATACATGTGGTATATATATATACTAAATTTATATGTACTAAACATATATATACAAAACATATATATACTAAACACATATATACTAAACATATATATACTAAACACATATATACTAAACATATATATATAAGCTTCCATAACTTGAACTTCTATAACTCGAATTTTCTGTAGCTCGTACTAAATAGAGTACAGCAGGGTTTAGACAGCAAATTACATACAATTACAACAAAAATCATTAACTCGTAGTATAAGTCTAACGTTTTATTTGCAAAATGGAACTTTGAGTTATGGAAGTTTAACTGTATATATAAACATATGGTATATAAAGTTTTCAAAAATTACATGAAGGAAGCTTTTAATGAACTAAAATAATATGAAATAATTCGAAAAATAATAGATGTTCAAAGCTACATTAAAATGAGGGAGAGAACTTACACTTCCTATAACATTATTTTTTAATTTGAAGAATATAACTTAAATTTATGACAGATGTTTTTAATCAAAGAATAATTTGCAAAATATTACGGACCCATGCTCTGTAAATATTGAACAAATCCTTAATAAATTGAAGTTTAAATTGAAAACTGTACTTTGCAATAAAATAAAGCCGATTGCTACATTTTATTATTGTATATGTATAACATATATTTATGTGTTCATAAATAAATAATCTCATGTTAACAATATAAATTCTCGAATTTATAAAGAACAAAACCGAAAGAAGTGTTAATTAAACTGAATAGAGAAAATAGATTAAAGCTATAAAACTATGCGCACAAGGCCAACTACTACAAACATCCACTGAGCAATGTCAAAACAAGAACCCGAATTTTGCAAAATTGTTATAATTTCATATATAACATAGAAAAATATTTTGGAGACAATTGTTAATAAAGGGTTCTACTTTAAAATTGCGAAATTTTTGATTTTTAGATTGGTTAATTAATCTAGTATATATTAGTTCCCGTAGATCCTATGAGAAGCAAAGGCCCATAATTAAGACAGTATAATCGTATATATTCTTCTCGTATATATATATAGAGCACATGAACGTTACTAAAATGGGTTAAAAAAATAAGATAGAGATGGATAAAATTAATGTGAGAGCTTTATAGATTTTTATAAGTTTTCGTAAGCTAATTTTTTAAGGACTGGAATTTCGGGAGTGATTTTGTGGTACTTCTTGTTTTTTCATGCATGTATTTATGAAGTTCTATGATTGATACTAAATAAAGTGAATAGTACTTTAATATTTAAAAAGGGGATCCATATGTTAAATGATTATCAAATTTAATATATAAATATAGTATTTATATAAACTAACTTTTTTTAAATACATAAAAGTACCAAATAATGTTGGTTTACTTGATCATAACAACGTCTAATCCCGAAATTTCAGTTCAAAATACTTTTTAAACTTTATAAATTTATTTCATTACTTAATTTATATAAATATAAGTTAAATCATGTATATTTATTTATTCCATATATATTTTCTTCTGTGAACGGGGTGAGGTTATTGCACAAGCGTGGGGGTACTAGTGGTACACTTTGTGAACCCGGTTCACGAGAGCCGCGGTTGAAGAAAGGGATGATGGAGTGATCAGAGTCACTCATCGAGGTAAAGGGATAGGTATTGGGGGGTTTGTGGCGTAAGGCCTGAACTAAGCCCGCAGGAAGGGTGCTAGGGGCTGAGCTGTCAGGTGGGAGTTGTATTGCCGCGAACGAATAATTAAGTATAAATCAAATAAAAAAAATTATATGTCATGCTTATGAAATATTGTAAAAATTTTACTTTAATAATAAATGTGTTCAAACTAAAATTCTCATCTTCTTTAATTACTTTTATTGATATAGGATTTATAATACAGCCAAATTGTTGAAATTCTAAGGAACATTTATTTTGATATAAAGAATTAGTTGATAGTAAATATTTGGTTAGGGTGTGTAATTGTTGTATTTCTAGTATATTTCTTTTACGGATTTATTTATTTAGCTCTATGTTTACAAAGACTTTTGTATGATAACCATTTTAAATTTAGAACGACTTAAGATTTTAAAGCATTTTCAAGATCCGAAATAAATTAATTAAATACGAGAATTATTTAAGTAATCGAAAAGTCGTTAACTCTTTTTTGTCTGAAAAAGAGTTATTCTTTAAAATAACAAATAAATTTGAAGTATCAAAAATATTTGGTTATATTATAGATATATTTTTTTATTGTATAAGAAACACCTAAACAAGTTTTAATTGACAAAAAGCCATGCTAAAAAAATCATAATATTACATATATAATATTGCATATATATATACATATATTTTATTTTTCGCTATAAAACATCAATTATTATTTTATTTATCAATAATTTGTTTATAAAATGATTGTCATTTAGTATCGTAAACATTAGGTGCAGTTCTATAAAGATAAAAGTAAGAGAATCACGAGATGCAAAAATTATATGATTTTTTACTGGGGTTCTAAATGATAACGTACCCTAGAAAGAGAACACACCCATTGACGTCAAATCTACGCATCAAATGCGTAATTAAAGAAAAATAAATATTGATACAAAATGATTATAAAAACACACTCAAATAATAACAAAACAGAAACACAGCAAAATACTTTATAAAAAAAAATTAATATCAAAAAATATAAAAATTTTAGTAAACAAATGAAATTTTGCCTTGAAAATATGTGCAAAAAATGCTAAACAAAATATTATTCATTAACAATAAAACTTGATTAGAAATTTGCGTTTTTTTTTTAAATAAAAGAATAATTAAATTATATTTAGGATAATGGTATTTTCTTTGAATGACTACAATTATTAGTTAAAATCAATTATATGGTAACCATACGGTAGTATCGGAGAATGTTGGATATTCGTCAGCACCTAACTTTTGTTAATTATATTTGGATTTAATTATATACATATAATGGGACTACCAATATGAGAGAATATAATAAACAATATTATTAATTATTAAATTAACTGATTAATTAATTAATTAATTAATTAGTACTCAAAAAATGTATAATTCTTAGTAATTTGATAACAAAAAAGTTTAACTTATCTAGCAACAATTGTATTGTTGTAGGTTTTATATATACGCCAAGTCATTCTTTGGATTTAGTAAAGCACGTTTAAACAATTATCACAAAATGCTTATTATAATTGTTATAAAATTTGATTCATTTTTATTCAACATCTATCTAAATTTTCTTATCACATTTTTTGAAGCACTAACGTCACATTAAATCATAAATAAAAAAAAAGTAGGCTAGTGTTATATGTAGCACTTGTGCGTGCCCCTACATAAAATGTCGATATATTTAGTTGCCTAAGAAGAAGTGTAAAATATAGAACAATAGAAAATGATCGGATGCAAGAATAAGTTAAAAAAATAAAACTAAACTAATGATTACATTTTGATTCTGATAAATGTCCAATAACTTCTATAAAAAATGTAATATAATATAAAATAATATAATATAAAATAATATAAAATAATTTAATATACAAAAAATATAATATGTTATAAACAAAATATATAATATGCATAAAATAAATAAAAATCTAAAATCCCGATACCATTCCGACAGTGTTTGGAGTGTAAATAGCAGTGAGTGACATTCATTTGCAACATCCGACCGGAGCTCCACGGGGGTGAAGTGCCCACAACTTCAGCTGTCCTGACCAATTGAGATTGGCAGTGTCATGATAGCTGCCAAACACATAATTTAAATATGCGCCGACGGAAATTCCTTGCACTTTTTAATAGGGCATTTATAAGCGCATTATCTTGATACGTGTGTTTTTAGAACACCATGGTGTTGAGCCTTCAAGGCAGGTAACCAAGTAAAGCCAAATAAAGCAATTTTAAATATAATTG